ATGTCATATCCTGTTCTAATTTGGCAAGGAACTAGTTAGAAATATTATCTTGTAAGGAATAAGAAAAAGTTTAAAGAAGAATTTAGAATAGTCTAGAATAATCTAGAATACTGGAGAAGTTTCTAGAAAAAATGTAGAATAGTCTACAACAATTTAGAAGAATCTAGAATATTGAAGAAGTTNTATTCTAATTTGGCAAGGAACTAGTTAGAAATATTATCTTGTAAGGAATAAAAAAAAGTTTAAAGAAGAATTTAGAATAGTCTAGAATAATCTAGAATACTGGAGAAGTTTCTAGAAAAAATGTAGAATAGTCTACAACAATTTAGAAGAATCTAGAATATTGAAGAAGTTCCTAGAAAAATCTGAAAAGTTCTAGAACAATCTAGAGAAGTCTAGAATATTTTAGAAGGTACTAGGCAATACTAGAAGGTTCTAAAGGGATTTAGAATGTTCCGGAAAGTTCAGGAAGGACTTAGAAGGTTGGAGAAGACTATAGATGAATCTAGATACTTGTGGAATTTTCATGTGCAAAATAAGCTTGAAATCTAGAAGGATCTAGGAGAGGAGAGATAGTAGAATATTCTAGGGAATCTCTCCTAAAAATGTCACATGTCAATATTCTCTAGAATAATCCTTGGATGCCTATAAATAGGGCATTTGGGGATTGAATTAAGATACAAGTACAAGAGTAGTCTTTCACTTTCAAGAAAGAATAGAGAGTAAAAGAGAGAAGAAGGAAGGAAGAACACTTCATCAAAGGAGAAAGGAAATTGTGAGAAAAAGAGNTATTTGGGGATTGGATTAAGATACAAGTACAAGAGTAGTCTTTCACTTTCAAGAAAGAATAGAGAGTAAAAGAAAGAAGAAGGAAGGAAGAACACTTCATCAAAGGAGAAAGGAAATTGTGAGAAAAAGAGGAAAGACATCAATAACATCTTACTCTACTTCGGGTAACAAGCAACACTCAAGAAGCATATCATTTGGACTAGAGGTGAGTGGATTGGCATGCTACGTATTTTCGAAAATTTTTCGTATCCCTAAATATTTTTAAAATAATACATCATGATTGTTCATTACTACCTTTACAAAATGTTTTACTAAGTGCCTAAATATTTGTGGCATACGATTCTCTTTGCTTTGATGAATTCTTTTGTGAAGTGTTGTGACTCAATCACTTGTTTATATGGTGAGACTTTATGATAGTGAATGGGACCACGATTAAAAGTCCAGAAAAATTATTTCTCTGTGTGCGGGTGACTTTGGCCATTAGGGAACAGCCCCGGGAGAGGCTGAGGTGACCCTAGTGCTCAACAGTTGAAGGAATAGTGCCTGGTGCGTCCTGGTGACCTTCACTAGATCGTCTTAGGGAACAGACCCGGGAGAGGCTGTGGTGACTGTAGGTACGATGTTGGATCCAACCCTGAGATATATTTTAGCATTCGGTACTTGGTTCCCATCGATTATTGGATATCNTATTTTCTTTGCTTTGATGAATTCTTTTTTGAAGTGTCGTGACTCAATCACTTGTTTTTATGGTGAGACTTTATGATAGTGAATGGGACCACGATTAAAAGTCCAGGAAAATTATTTCTCTGTGTGCGGGTGACTTTGGCCATTAGGGAACAGACCCGGGAGAGGCTGAGGTGACCCTAGAGCTCAACAGTTGAAGGAACAGTGCCTGGTGCGTCCTGGTGACCTTCACTAGATCGTCTTAGGGAACAGACCCGGGAGAGGCTGTGGTGACCGTAGGTACGATGTTGGATTCAACCCTGAGATATATTTTAGCATTCGGTACTTGGTTCCCATCGATTATTGGATATCGTACAATCTCCACCATTATGATATGATTTACCATTGTGGTATGATTTTTTGTTAAAACCCGATTGTGTTATTCTTGAAAAATTGGTTATCTTGATGGAGTTATTTTTTCAAATATTTGATTTATATGTCGTATGCCAAAAATATTTTTCAGCCACTTTGAATATGCATGTCTTTTCATTCACTGGGCTTTTTAGCTCATGTTTTCAAAATAATATTTTTTTAGGTAAACGATTAGAGTGTCAATAGCGGACTCACGGAATTGATTGGAAACTAATAGTGTTGNAAGTTATTTTTTTAAATATTTGATTTATATGTCGTATGCCAAAAATGTTTTTCAGCCACTTTGAATATGCATGCCTTTTCATTCACTGGGCTTTTTAGCTCATGTTTTCAAAATAATATTTTTTTAGGTAAACGATTAGAGTGTCAATAGCGGACTCACGGAATTGATTGGAAACTAATAGTGTTGTGACCTCCGTAGTATATATCGTATAGCCCTCTTTACTAGTTTGGATAATTAGGCAAACAGGTTTAGGTATNCGGAATTGATTGGAAACTAATAGTGTTGTGACCTCCGTAGCATATATCGTATAGCCCTCTTTACTAGTTTGGATAATTAGGCAAACAGGTTTAGGTATGTTGACTTTGACATATTGACCTGCGATCAATTTAGTGTTTTAATGTTATTTTCCACTCATATATTATTAATTTATTGTTAGGCTTACGTGTTCCATAGGTTATGGAACTATGGTTCACGGCCAGTCATGCCCTTGGAGTTGGGGTGTGTCAATTGCAATCACTTCGCTGATTAGCAATTATGTCGGTCCAAACTTTGATACCAATTAATGCACCGGTAACAGAGACAGAGAGAAATAGCCGTTTCTATNTCACTCATATTATTAATTTATTGTTAGGCTTACGTGTTCCATAGGTTATGGAACTATGGTTCACGGCCAGTCATGCCCTTGGAGTTGGGGTGTGTCAATTGCAATCACTTCGCTGATTAGCAATTATGTCGGTCCAAACTTTGATACCAATTAATGCACCGGTAACAGAGACAGAGAGAAATAGCCGTTTCTATTTTTATACAATATGCACACCTGAATTCACATGAAAGAATAGGAGAAATACTCTAAACTTGATATCATTGAATGAATAATAATAATAATAATACATAGGGACAATTTATACGAATATCCAAATCCCTAAATTCTCCTGAAATATGATTAAAGTCCTAAATCCTAATTATATGCAAAATAAAAAAATAAAAGATATTTGGGAGAAATTAGGAAATCCTGAATAGGAATCTAATTATTCTATACTAAAATCTTAATCAATTATGATCCTACCAAAGTACTAAAAAAATAAAGATATTGCTAATATTCGTCCAAGATCACATGCAACAGTTTGCCCATCCTATTATTGGAAATTACTGTAAATCTAGCCGTGGAACCTTTATGTATGATTATTGCAAAACTTTATTTCAATCAGACTCTTCAAAATTATAGCGTATGTTCTTCTCAGTTTGTTGCTTCATGCGAAAATCCCTTGTAGATCTGCCTTTTGTATTGCAATCCCCTCTTACCTCACTTTAATCATGTCAATTTTTTTGCTGAATGTGATTTAAGAAGTGTAAATCTTCAAAGTTCCCAAGTTTATCTTAATTTCGGTTTAGTTTGCTCTGCAATACATCCGTGGTCCTTAATGTGTTTCAGACACCTCTTTGATACAGCGATGCATGCATGTGGTTGGTCACTCATGACGGAAAGTCTGACCACACATGCGATGTCATACCAATTGTATTCCAGCTTGAGGTACATTGTCAGCATAACCTTAAGCTTCTATATAACAGTAGTTGGTTCTTAACAGCCTTACCTTTTCTTAACAGCCTTACCTTTTCAAGGCAACAAATATTGCGTTATGATATCCTTCATCTTAAAGCTTAAAGTTAAGAAANTCCTTATCTGCAAGGCAACAAATATTGCGTTATGATATCCTTCATCTTAAAGCTTAAAGTTAAGAAAGGGGCATAAGGGTGAAAAGGGAGCTGCCAAAACATTGGTCTTGGAGTGATGCAAACCTTTTGTATTTAGATTCTGGATAAGAAAATTGTTAGGTTATCTGTAAAGAATTGGGAATATGTTCTTTGCATGAACACAAGCTTTTGTATATATTTCCACATGAGAAGCCAAAAATTTGCACATCCATCGGTGAACACAATGATGTATAGGATTAGCACCCCTGCTGTTATTATACGGACTCTTTGNGAGCTTTTGTATATGTTTCCACATGAGAAGCCAAAAATTTGCACATCCATCGGTGAACACAATGACGTATAGGATTAGCACCCCTGCTGTTATTATACAGACTCTTTGGCTGCTAGTTTAGGTGGCATTACGTGTTTATGTTTTTAATTTGTTTTATCAATCTGATGTTTATTTTCNAAGCTTTTGTATATATTTCCACATGAGAAGCCAAAAATTTGCACATCCATCGGTGAACACAATGATGTATAGGATTAGCACCCCTGCTGTTATTATACGGACTCTTTGGCTGCTAGTTTAGGTGGCATTACGTGTTTATGTTTTTAATTTGTTTTATCAATCTGATGTTTATTTTCAGGAAAGGGTTGCGCTCGGTGGTAGCATCAAACAGTGAAACTTGTGTTGATTATTTTTCAAATGCCTCTGTTGTAATCAATGTTGCAAGCTTGATCTTGAGACTTTTACCTTCTAAAGATGGTGTTGTGCTGAGAAGACTCTTAATGACTGCAGTGAGTACCCTTTTGCTGGACATTTTTGAACTATGTGCAAAATTAAAATGTGAACTTTGTTTGTTGCTCGAGGTTCATTCTGACTGGTGATATATTATGGCCTGCATGGTGGTGGGTGAGCAGGATTTCAGGATCATTCTATGAAACTGAGGTCAATTGATGATAAGCTCAACTGATGCAAAAGGGTATTTTGAGTAGCCAATACTTATTCCGTTTCTTTTTTTCCCTATCTTGTTCTACTCCTGTTTCTATCCTTTTTCCTGACAAGGGTGTTGACTGTTTCTCTTTCTTCATTCAACTCTCTCTCTCTCTCTCTCTCTCTCTCTCANTTCTACTCCTGTTTCTATCCTTTTTCCTGACAAGGGTGTTGACTGTTTCTCTTTCTTCATTCAACTCTATCTCTCTCTCTCTCTCTCTCTCTCATCCTAGTGTCATGCATAATGAAATTACTGACCCTAGTTTACCTGGTCAACTAGTAGGTATACTCTTCCTTACGGTAAAAATGGAAAAGAAAGCAATCTACTTGTTATCTTGGTAATAGATAGCAAAGTTAAGGTCAAAAAACAATGTGGCGATTTTTTTTTTGGGGTGGGGGGTGACATAGAACCCAAACCGTAAGTTTGATAGCTGAAATTAGCGTCTCTATTTGAGTAGGATAGATAGTTTCGTGGTGACATTTTTTATGGTGTTCACATTTAGTTTCTGTCCCAAGTCCTTAGGATACAGGCAGGGATGATTGCCCCAGTTTCCTATACTAGATTTTTGTCCCAGAATAATGGCAATTGGACCATAGAGCACCATGGCTTATATCCTGAGCACAGGCAACATAATTTCTTCTTCTCTTTTTCCTCCCCAATTCTGCACTTTACGGAGTTTTGCATGTTGATGCAGGATGGAGCTTCATTAATCCGAGCCATGGTTTCCAAGGAAGCAATTGTCTTTCGCCAGCAACTTTGTAGGGTTATCACAGACGTACTGTATCAGTGGATTTCTGAAACAATTGGAAGAGGTGCCCTCATAACTCGATATAACATTGAGCTAGGTTCATCTTCCACATTATCCACACCCATCTATGATTATGAGTCCATCCTGAGAGATCGACGCCTCAAAGTGATTTTCTTCAAGGTAATGGACTCTGCTAGGAAACATCCCGTATTGATGCTGAGATTCTGCTGCTCTTCCTTTGTCATGTTTTTCACAGCCTCAGCTTTGGCTTGTCATCGGGTGTTAGTTTCTTTGTCCGAAGCTTACTTGGGTCCTGTATCATTTGCTCCAAAGCAAGTTGCATTTGGCGCATAATGTTTTCACTTGACATCAGAGAATGTGTCCATTGAAGAAGAGAGATGCAAGCATTATGTATGGAAATTCTTTCAATTCAAAACTCGAAAAGGTACAAACCTCAGTGACGATGGCCAATTAGGTTGAGTTATACGCTAAAAGGATTTGTGATATTGGTGCCAAAAACCTTATGTGAAGAAGTATAGGTATAGAATCTGCAATTTTGAATGTCATATGTAAAAGTATTTGTGGAATCTGTACAGTGTAAATAGCTGCTACTATTCTCTTAACGTCAAAAGAAAAGCCCTGTTATGTGACATTTTTGGTATGTGCGTGTATTTGCTCTGTGGTATGGACTATGGAAGTATTATATGCCCTGCAGAAGACGGAATTACGTGCTGGCCATAACCAGATGGTATGGTGTAAGAGACCAAGAACATGGAATGATGCATCAAAAAGTGATATTCTTCAATTAAATATGTTTGATAACTAAAATTTTCACTACTTGAGCTAAAATTTTTGAGTAGTTATTTACCTACTTATTAGTAAATAAGGATTTTTTTCATGATAGAGCAATTTGCTCTTCAATTATTTTGATTTTAGTCTATCCTGCACCTCGACTTTCCACCACCACCACTACTACCATGGCACCACCACAATTGTTATCCCGCCACCATGATTGGCCCACCCCCAATGCCACCACCATTGCAACCAAACCATCGCCCCCACCACTACTGTCACCACCATCACTGTAGTCATCACTAAACACTATCATGATCACTACCATCTGACTATGATTTATCCCCAATGCCAACGCCNTCATGATAGAGCAATTTGCTCTTCAATTATTTTGATTTTAGTCTATCCTGCACCTCGACTTTCCACCACCACCACTACCACCATGGCACCACCACAATTGTTATCCCGCCACCATGATTGGCCCACCCCCAATGCCACCACCACTGCAACCAAACCATCGCCCCCACCACTACTGTCACCACCATCACTGTAGTCATCACTAAACACTATCATGATCACTACCATCTGACTATGATTTATCCCCAATGCCAACGCCGCCGCCACCACCACCTCCACTACTATAGCCACTAAACTATCACCCCACTGTTACTTGCCACCACCATCGCAACTCCGTCACTATTACCACCATTGCCACTGCAACTACAACCACTACCACCATTGTAACTCTATCGTCGCCGCCATTGCCATCGCAACTACAACCACCACCACCCAACAATGTTACTACCTTTATTGCTTCTAACTACCACTTCATTATCACAACAACCGCCTACCACTACCTCACTATTGTTGCCTCATTGCCACCACTACTTCCAACCCTTTACCACCATTATCTGACACCCACAATTATCAATACAACCACCCCCGACCATCACCCCCTAACCCCCACTAACATTATTGATGTCATCATCTCCTTGCATCATAATGCCACCACCATCACATAATCGCCATTGTCATCATTGTTTCTACTAACTTTGTTGTTACCATTATCACCACCACCATCATAAGTCTGACCATTACTACCTCCACTATAACCACCATGATGNCGTTACCGTTATCACCACCACCATCATAAGTCTGACCATTACTACCTCCACTATAACCACCATGATGGTGGTGATAACGGTGGTAGGGGGTGGTGGTGGATGTGATTGTAGAGTGCGTGGTGACGGAGGCAATAATAAGGGTTGATGGAGGTAGTAATGATGGTGGAGACAATNTGTTACCATTATCACCACCACCATCATAAGTCTGACCATTACTACCTCCACTATAACCACCATGATGGTGGTGATAACGGTGGTAGGGTGTGGTGGTGGATGTGATTGTAGAGTGGGTGGTGACGGAGGCAATAATAAGGGTTGATGGAGGTAGTAATGATGGTGGAGACAATGGTGGGAGGGTGATGGTAGCTAAGGTGATGATAGAGGCAATTGTAGAGGTGGGGTGAAAAAGAAAAAAGGCAAAATTAGAAAAATATTAACTTTCAAATTTCAACTTCTTGTAGTGATCAAACATGTAAATCTAATTTAGTGCTTAACTTTTAGTATAAATCAAACACTTTTCTAATTAATATCAATAATCAATACTTAAAATTCAGTATTTAATTTTCAATGTTATCAAATACCACTAAGAAAGTCTTTTTTTTTTTTTTGTTTAACCTAGAAGTTCATTGAGCCAAACAATTTCTTTCAAAATCGATAAAGTTTGAAAAAAAAGAAAAAGAAAAAAGAAATAAACAGCCAGAATTTTATTTTTTTTAGAGAGATAGAGAGACAAATTTGGCAAAAAAAAAAAAAATAGCAATACTTTGCACATACCAGTAGATTACCTCCAAATTGCTCGTTCTAATGAGTCAAGGAAAAAACAAAAACACAAGAGAAGTCAATTTCAACGAGCTAATATAACACGATGTCTCGCGCTACACCAAATCACACAAACGCGGTTCAGTTGAATTGATCATCTACCTCCCGTCCCCACCTCTTCTTCTCCGACGCCGATCCTCCTCAGACTCANTTTTTAGAGAGATAGAGAGACAAATTTGGCAAAAAAAATAAAAATAGCAATACTTTGCACATACCAGTAGATTACCTCCAAATTGCTCGTTCTAATGAGTCAAGGAAAAAACAAAAAACAAGAGAAGTCAATTTCAACGAGCTAATATAACACGATGTCTCGCGCTACACCAAATCACGCAAACGCGGTTCAGTTGAATTTATCATCTACCTCCCGTCCCCACCTCTTCTTCTCCGACGCCGATCCTCCTCAGACTCAGACACAAAAAGAATACACAAACCTATCAGATCAGTCTTCTTAACTACCAATTCTCACGCTCATGAGTACTTCGGCAATTTCAGGAGTAAGTTCCTCTCTCTCTCTCTCTCTCTCCCCACATATAGATACCTATTATGCTTGTTTGTGGATCTTATATTGGTCCAATAATCGGAGAGTATAAGAAGATTGAATTTTGGTGTGGAATTTGGTAGGGCACGAACTTGTTTACGGGATTTACGAGGCTGTGCAAGGGCCTTGCGGTAGTGTTAATAGGTGGACACATTGTAGTTCAGATCTGGCCTTTTGCCGTTACTTACCTTGCTCTCATTCCTGCCAGGTACTCTTTTCTTCTTTGATTCCAACTTTTCACCTGAAATTCTCTGATTGTTTCGATATGAGCAATGCTATAGGGATCAAATATGGGGACCTAATCAGGGATCTAATCCAATGAAACTATTGGATTAGTTGTGTGTTCCAATGTTAGATGGAGTCCACTTTCAATCCTTTCTATGTATATGTATGTGGGGATCATGTGTTGATTAAGGAACTTGTTAAAAAGGGTAGTTGGAAAATGAAAATTGAAGTAGATTAGTTGTTATTCACTTGAGAAGCCTTAAGAAGAATGTCAGTGCTAAATGCTAATCCTGCTAATTCTGGATCCTAGTATGGATTACATACAAATCTAAATTGTTTCAATTGTTCAAGTGGGTGGTTTCTGTTTGAATTGAAACATATTTTCACACATGAAACCCCAAACATTTGCAAATGGCCATAAAACCCTTCTAGACAGTGATCAAGTACTGTACCAATTAGGGGAATGAACTAAATAACCATACAAGCTATCTTATATGTTTGACTAGAAGTCATGCTTGAGCATTAAAGTATGCAGCATGCATCTTGATTTTGACATGGCTTTTTTTGCAGTATTGATAGATTTAAATTGTATATATGCGAGCATAAACTTATATCCAAAAAAAGATTGCTACATTTGCCTATCATCAAATTTATTGTTTATGTTTCAATTGTTTTTCCTTGCTTATGTAGAACTTTGAATTGAATGACCTCGAATTAGTCACCTCACTACAATTATAAATGCATGGATTGCCCCTTTAATTTTATATCCACCGTTTTTGGTTTGTAAATGATAACAAACTATGAGCCTGCATTTTTTTCATTGTGAAGCCTGTACCTCAAGCATGACAAGGCTCACAATGTAATTCTTGCTTTAACGGAAGTAAATATCATTATCAAGGTATAGGGAAAATTTGAAGTCGTAGATAGAGTTAAACAGTTTGAAACATTTTATACATAAACTAATTAGGAGATTTGGCATATTACTTTCTGGTAGCATTTAATCCGGCCATTTCCTCAGGTCTGACAATGTCCTTTTGGCTTCAGAGTCTCTAACTCTACTGATGTGTTGAGTGATTAAGTATTTAACTTTTTGGCATGTAGTATCTGCTTTGCATCCTACCTTCTGCGAAAAAATATATTGACACGAGTTATTACTGCAAAATTTGAATGCATGCATCCTTGCTTTTCTTTGTTGATGCTTCCTAACATCTTATATGTAAAATATGCATGCATAAACTAATTTGAATGCTCTACCTTATTGTCTATCAAATGTATGAGTTAGAACCCATGGTCATTCCTGATCTCAAAACTGAAATGAGATGAAAAAAAAGGGAGTGATAAACTCAATTTTTTTTTTCTTTTTGATAAGAAGTGAAGAAAGCAGTTTGTTTCAAGTGTTAGTATCAAAACTCACTTTGGGAGGTGAAAATCACTACCATTTTCAAACCTATCATGTAAATTTGTTTTTCCTCGGAGATTCTGGCCTTCTTTGAACGTCAAGTGTGCGTCTGTAGTTCACTTATTCAATGCTTCCTTAGCTAAGAAAATGGTAAGCATAATAAAANATGTAAATTTGTTTTTCCTCGGAGATTCTGGCCTTCTTTGAACGTCAAGTGTGCTTCTGTAGTTCACTTATTCAATGCTTCCTTAGCTAAGAAAATGGTAAGCATAATAAAATCACGCTTTAGCCCGACAGACCCACCATCTCTTTCCTTGCAGGAATGCCTTTTCTTCAAGATTCGTCTCAAGACCGTGATTAGAATTTCCTTCCGCTACACTCGCCAATCCATATTCGGAGTTTAGCCATTGTTTAGTAGATTGGAAATCAATGCTGGAAGCATTGACTGCTACACATACCAATCCAGAACCTTGACTTTATGCATGATTTAGTAACTTGGAAAGCATTGACAATGTCCAAATGGGATTTCGCATGAACTTCCTTATTTGAATCAAATGCCTTATTTTTCTTTTTTCTTTTTTATTTCCATTTTTGAAGAATAAAACCACGTAACTCCATATCCTATAAACTCTAGAAAGAGATGGTTTTCTGCACTAATGCTACAACATGCCTTTTTAATTTGATATTAGCTTTAGAAAGGACAACCAAGCATGATGCTCGGAGACTTGGAGTTTACAAGTATTTGCTCCAGTGACTTAAAACTTATTCATCTGATATTGCAGCACAA